TATCAGACTTGAACATTCTGATTCTACAAAAAACCGCCCTACTTGGAACGGCTTATATCTTCTGACGTTACCTTAACAATTCCTAGGGCCTTGGTTAGGACTCGAGCTGTTGAGCTAACAACCAGCCTCAAAGGCTGTGAATCTCACCAAAGATTAACCACACAATAATAGCAGCAGCAGCAACACAGGGCTGAGTACATAAGAGAAAATGAAAGAATGGCAGCTGGATAGTTTTGAGGAAAGACGTGTGAATGGATGTGTGATGTCCATTCTCCAGCATCTGAAGGGACGTCGCAAGGAAGAAAATCAAGACAATGTTGTGTATCCATGTGAACATGTAAATATCTGGACACCGCAAGCATTTGGGGGCCTCATGCACTAGGAATAAGGCACATGGCAGAGCTTTTGACTTGTTGGACTATTCCTTCCAGATTTCTATTTATACCTCTCATATCTTTTTTTGGGTATCAATAAACTGGGGGGTCTGAATCAATTCTGACTAACATGAACTTCAAGCAGTAGGAAAAATCCTGTTCAGTTCACAAATGCAAAAGTGGAGCAGATGCATTCAGAAGCAAGCAAACCGAATGAGATCTGTAGTAGAGACCACAGCTAAAAATGCTAGCTTATTCCATCACTAGTGAAATCCCAAAATTCAGCCACAAAGGAGGCTGTTCACCTCATCAATCAGGTCAGTCACAAGGCCAGCAGGAAGGTGCCTTGTGACTTGAGAACTGAGGGAACTCGAGTTCCTTGCAAGCCCTTGTGTTTTGGATCTTAGATGGACCAGAGCAGAAGGGGAAGCAACATGGGTTGAGCTACTCCGGCTGTCAGAAAGCAGAAAGAGCCTGGGCTGGATGGCAGAGCTGAGCGATAAGACTGCAGTGGCAAAGGAAGAGCACGGGCAAACTTCTGAGAAGGGAAATGTGCAGACAGGAAACAAACGGAGGGGGAGGGAGACAGAGAACAGTATCCTCAAGCAGAACGGAGAAGAAGTCCTCCACCACCACCCTGGGTTAGAAGAGCCAACTGTTTGAGCAGGCTCTTCAACGTTTGGTTGCTCTCCTGAGGTCAAGGTTCCACGCATGGGCCAGGGAAGTAAGGATGGCATCAAGGAAGTGGTGGGATGGGGTTCCTCTCCCCATCGCTACCGGTACGGTGGTCATGCATCCTTTTGTGTACACACGCTGCACATGCATGCGCACTCCACCGTCCCTGCGACACCCAGCTGCTTGTAGGAGCTCACCTAGGCGCCACACACTGTGTGCACAGGTGCAATTGGCCGGTTGGTTTAAAAAACGCTGTCAGTGGCTATTACCAGTACAGCTGTACCAGGCCATACCGGCTGAAACCCACCACTGCATCAAGGCACAGCAACTTTTGAGAAAGGTTCTGGAATTGGGATCCTGCTCTCCACTCAGAAGAGTTGCAGGTCATTAGAGAAGAAAAAGAGAAAGATCATTTTAGGGTGTGTCCTGCTAGATTCCAATCGAGTTGATCTAATGTTATTTAGGCAAAGATCTAGATTTCTTGTGCAGGCAGCAAAGAGTTAGAGATTTCTGTTTCTCTTTGTGACTATCTAGTAGGGGTAGGAAATCCTTACTCACAGAGTTGCCAGCTTGGTCCTTCTCCCCAGAAAGGCACTTTTACCACCATTTCAGAAAAGGTGCCATTTGCTGGTTTGTTCATGGAATGAAAAACAGTTACGGATGTGATTTTTTGAAACCAATCATTTATACAGCACCACTTAAGCTGCCCTAAGATTTAAGGCCAAATTTTAGCTATTGCACCATGGCAATTTGGCACTGTATTTGCGAAGAGCCCAGGAGCTGCAAGGGAAAAAACAGTTCAGAAGCTGCCCACAATGAAGCTGTCCACTCTTCCTACTTACCTAGCAGGTGAAATATTACAATCGGACACACAGTCAGCTAGAACATTTAGATTGAATTTGGTGTCCTATTGTCCAGCTACTAAAGGACCTGGGATAGGTAGATGTTGTTATTTGATAACATTAAAATATTGCAGGATGTGAGCTGTTCCTAGCCAATTTGCCCTTTGCAACTGAGACACTTTCAAGAAGAGATTGGACTGCCATCTGTCAGAAATGGTGTAGGGTCTCTTGTTTGAGCGGGGGGTTGAGCTAGATGACCTAGGAGGTCCCTTCCAACTCTGGTATTCTACATTCAATGTGATTTTGTCATGCCAATAGTGTTCAAGTGATGCTCCAGAAGTTTGGAATTGCACTGAACATTGTTGTTGTTGTTGATGATGATGATCTCCTCCTCCTCCTCCTCCTCCTCCTCCTCCTTCCTCTTCCTCCTTCTCCTTTTTTCTTCCTTCTTCCTCTTCTTCTTCTTTCTCCTCCTCCTTGCTTTTCCTCCTCCTCCTCCTCCTCCTCCTCCTCCTCCTCTTCCTCCTATTTCTTTTCCTTCTTCCTCTTCCTCCACAATATTTAGATTGGATTTGGCAGTTTTATCCATCGAGTCCTTCCCAAATCCCTGGAATAGGCAGCTGCTATCATTTGATAGGATTAAAGGTACATTTCTGCAATCTTCCTGAAATTTCTGCTACTTTTCAAATTATTTTTTTTCCAACAAAGGAAAAAGATCCGTTTAGAAGGGGTGGGGGGACAATCCATGTTGTTTCAGATGGAAGTACTAAATGTGGAAGAAGCCTTAAATTTCAGGAATCACTTGAAAATATTTTACCAGGATTGTGTTACAATGATTTATAGGTACTAATCTTCCTATAAATACTATCACGATTCCACTTGAATGCATTTTCATGTAATTCTGTGAAGCACAGAAGAAGGAAAGGGAGCCAGCACTAAAACCCCAATGTAATTTACAAAGGTTTTCAAACCACCACGTTTATTTTCAATTTCATTGTTATCATCTGAAATTGAGGGAAAAACACAACAAATCTCTATGTGGTTGAACAGCGGGAAAGGCTGACTCCTGGTTAAAATGATGGATACTTTATTGACTCAATGATACATTTATTTATAAAGGAAAATCAATGTTAAATTTGCCAATTATTGACAGAACTGCATTGACAGAACTCGCAGACCCCAGCATAGTCTCAAATAAACTTATCTGAATTTATTAAATGACGCTTATGGGCCGCTTCATCACATCTGTTAATGATGGGCATCATTGATCATATCGCCATAGCTTGGGGAGGTCTCATTAAATTTGATATGCAATGCCCTATATTGCTGTATTGCTAACATTTTTCAGCATTAATTTTCATTGAAAAGTTGGGTAAACCAGTTCAGATCTTCATAGAGTGACTCTTTGGAAAAGGATACAGATCTTGCCTTGCAATTGTGGCAATGCAGAAAGACCTAATAAATGTTGAAAACAAAACGTAGGGGTGCAGAAATAATAGGCTTTGGCCCCTTTTGTTACAAGGAACTTGCATTTGTGTCTGTTTCAATTTAAAGCAGAGGTCTTCAAACTTGGCAACTTTAAGACATGTGGACTTCAACTCCCAGAATTTTACAGCCAGTTCTGGAAAATCAGCAGTGGGAATTTTGAGTACTTTGGAGAACCGGCAAATATCACCTCTGACTGGCCCCACCCCATCTATTCTGTGCTTCCCGAGTCCCAGCTGATCGGGAGGGAATGCNCGCCTCCCCCCCCCTTCCCTGCCCATCTTCTATTTTTGCTTCTCCTCCTTCGGCGGCTGGTGCAGCAGTAACAGCTCCTGGATGGACCCCTCCGCGGCTTCCCTTCGCCCGTCGCCTTCCTCCGGCAACTGAAGCGAGATGCAGGAGGCTGGTGGCCGCTTCGGCTGTACGGAGAGACACAGGCGCAAGATGGCAGATTTCTATTGAGTTTAAAGGGGCGGTGGGGGAAGCCGAAGTCCTGCTTCGTTTTTTCTTCCGTTGCCATGAATAACAGGATCCCTTGCACCGATGGCTCCCATGTACGAAGGTAAGGAGGGCAGCTTTCGGATCTGGAAGGGCTTTCGAGATCGCTCCCGTATAGCCGGCTTTCCTTGGGGGCGGGTGGGGGGGAGGAGAAAGAGAGAGGGTTTGGGGGGAGGCAGCGAAAGGAGGTGAGGAAAGAGAGGGGAGAACCCCCCCCCCTACACACAACACACCTCCGCCGGCTGCCTTTGGATTTCCCGGGAGCTGGTGGTGGGGGAAACCGGTTTCGAAACGGAGATCCAGGAGGCGCCGATCCCTCTTTTGTATGTGCGCCCCGGGGAGCGAATGCAGATCCGGGAGAGCGCGCGGTGGCTTTTTCCCGTGAGTTCGTCACGATCGCCCTTTCCCCGCTTAGAAGGCGATTCCCATCCCACCCACCACCCCCTTGCCCGGGGCTTGTGGGGGAAAGCGCGAGCGCCCGTGGGGGGTCTCCTTCCCCTCCGTCGGCGGCGGCGGCGGATTGCGGGAGTCTCCCGGCGGTGCCGGCTTTGGAACAATGAAATTGACAAGGCGGGGGCTGCGCCCGCCGGCCCGCCGGCCGCTCTCTAATGCAGGGCTCGCTCTCGCCCACAAATGGGAGCCCCTCTTCCTCCTTCTCCTCCTCTTCTTCCTCCCGACCTGCCTGGGCTCGTGAAGGTTTAGCCCTGCTGGCTGAAGCCCCGAGGTCCCGTAGTTGCCCTAGGGGGAGAAAAAGATGCCGTGCAGGTAACACGCCGGCATCGGAGCTTCTCCGGAGCCGGGTGCGTGGCCAGATGTCAAGAGGGAGGATTTGTGGGGGAGAAGGAGAAGGAACCCACGAGCGATTTTTGTTTTCTTTTGAGCTCCGTCCACGTCCAGTTCTTCCTTTCAGTTTCGAGCTCAAGCAAACTGGGCTGGAGGTTGGGTGGGTGGGTAGGAATGATGAAGTGGTTTGCGGGGGGAAAAAAAAACAGATCGCGAAGTTGATTTTTCGCCTTTTTCGTTGGAATCTAAATGGGGGGGGGAGGAGGTGTTTCTCCACACACCCCTCCCTCCCCGCCGCTTCTGTTGCTGCTGCTTCTGGTCCTTCTTCTTCTTCGCCCTCCACGGAGACAGAACAATACCTGAATCCGGCTTCGTTTTAAATTAAACCACCTTGCGCTTTTCGGCCGTCGTCCCTCCCCCTCCCCGCGTCTCCCTTTTCTCTCTCCGTTCGGTTTTGATTGCCGAAAAAATGCGGGCGAGACGTCCCGTTTCATTTAGTGCTTCGGTTCAAGAATCGTCTCGCCTGGTTCTTTTTATCTCAGCCACAGAAAGGTTAAAATGCGAAACCCGGGTGAGTCTGTCTAAGAGAGAGGTTGGAGAGGTTGTTTTGTTTTGTGTGTGTGCCAGACGAAGGAGTGCAATAAAACTTAAGAGAAACCCGACGTTAGTTGTACAGACAGAGAGAGATCCTTTCTTCGCTTCGTTAAGAACCGGTTTCCTCGGGCCTTGTAAAAGTTATGATCGGAAGGAGATCGTCCTAAAAATGCATGGATTGGTAAATCGCTTTCTCCCGTTCCTTTAAATCCTTTGTTGCTTGGGCAGAAATTGTAGACCTAAGAATAACAGAAGACTCAGGTAGGGACTTAGGGTTGCAGATTTCCTCCCCTGCCAGATGGTGAGTTGATCGGATCAAAAGGTGGCCATTAGGGAAAGAAAGAAAGAGAGAAAGAAAAAGCAAATATGTAATAAAAGTGAGAATTCAAAAAAAGGTGAAGGCCACTGAGGTTGGGATTGAAGGTGGAGAGAAATAAGAGACAAAAACCCTCTGTTGCTTTAAGAGACAATAAGCAGAGTGTACTAGGGTTGTTATTAAAACCATGAAAGAAGGACAGAAGGAAGGAAAGAGAAAGAAAGAAAGAGAAAGAAAGAAAAAGAAAGAAAAGACCATATCTGCAGCGATTAGATCAGCCTGGCATACTTAAAAAAATAAAAAAGGGAAAAAAGGTTTCTCTTTAAATAACTCCCTAAAGCGCCCTCTGCTGAATACATTGTATGGTTTCTAGTCTTGAAAAGTCATTTACAAATGAACCAGTGGATCTGTTAAGGCTACTTTAAATGGACTTTTTTCCATCCTGGAGGTAGTATTTTCTTTTTCTTGTGATGAAGGACATTGTAAATCATTTTCACCCTGCCCTTTATTCCAACAACATAGGGTCTTTCTCATAATACATTTCTCAAAACAGCCTTGGCAGATATGAAGGATCAGACAAGTGTTTTTCAAACTTGGCAACTTTTAAAATATGTGGACTTTTAACTGCCAGGATTCTGCAGCCCTGCAGGGAAATTCTGGGAGTTGATATCCATACATTGAGGAGGGGGGGTAAATTTGATAAACACTGGTTTAGGTTTAGGCAGAATGAGTTTGATGGCTGATGGTGACCTTTATGGATGACAGAATGGGATTTGAACCTGTGGTTCCCTCCTGTGTTTAATGCTGATGCTGTCATTCGGCCTTCCCTTATATAGCCTTCCCTGGATATGTTGGAATACAACCCCTACGACTCTCAGGACACAAAACTGACTTTCACAGACCTGAAGGTTTCCAACGTGAGGGTTTTCGTTTGTGTGCATCCTGTACCCAACTTTTTATAAGGCTGGGAAGGCTACCATTTGATTGACTTTGTGGCGAGAACAGAGTCAAGACGAAGGTAGAAGTTTTCCTACCCTCTGCTTCCAGTATCTGAATTCTGGTAAAAATGACTGATAGACCTGACAGTATTTATCCCCTGTGCCCAGAGTGTCTGTTGCTGTGTTAAGAGGAAAAATTGTTTGAGTTTTTACTTGGCATACTTTCTCCATCCTCTGTATTCTTTCGCAGGGACCATCGTACCTTTAGCTACAGATTGGGGATAGGTGGCGGAGCATCCGAGAGAGGTGCAGCAGGATCCACTGGATTCCCCTATCCATGTTTTTTTTCTGTAGCGTCTCTTGGATTGTTGTAGCGAAGGGTAAATATCATCCTTTAGCATTTTAGGAAGCCTTAACACTATTTTAGCTTCACTAGCCCTCCACATTTCAGAAGATGTTATCGTTCACCTTTGCTGGCTTTGTGACTTTAATGAGACATTTTTGAAACCTTTTTTAAAAGTGAGTGGCACACAATTTATATATTATAAATATATACCCTGTTTCCCAGAAAATAAGCTCTCCCCAAAAATATTTTAACACAGCAGCAGGTATGAGGTGACCATGCTCAGCGCCTCCTGCATCTCAAAAATAATAAGACCTCCCCGAAAATAAGCCCAAGTGCTTATTTCAGGGACCACACGGTGACCCCTGAGGAAACACGGTATGTATTATTAGAATTTGTGGGCAAAATGTTGTACGGTGACTCTGCTCAGTATCCAGTCTAGTATATTTTTTATACCCAGAACAAAAGGTGTATTGATAATTCATATGGGCCATTATAAATATAACACCTCTGAAAGAATATTTCCTTGTAATTTACCGAGTAGGTGTACTGTTGGCCATCATTCAGGGTTGGATCTCATATGCTTATATATATATATTGCTTCATTCATTTCCTTCCCCTCTGAAAATAAGTTCTGTCCTGTGAAAAGGTAATTTCAGTGCTGCTGAAAACTCTCTGTTTAAGGTCACAGGAAGAACTGGAAAATGTGGCTCTCTCTGGCACTCCATTCATACATGCAATACATTACTTGATTTTTTTGGGGTGTGTGTGTATTAGATTTTTTTAATTCCACTTTTTGCAGGCGCCAAGCAAATGATATACACATAGAATCCGGCCCAACTTTACAGTAATCTCGGATTGAGGAAGAAGGCAAAGTCCATATAGGTAGTCCTTGACTTACAACAGTTCATTCAGTGACTGTCCAAAGAGCACTGGAAAAAGTGACTTAGGACCATTTTTCAAACTTACAACCATTGCAGCTTCTCCATGGTCATGCGATCAAAATTCGGGTGTTTGGCAACTGACTCATATTTAGGATGATTGCAGTGTCCCGGGGGTCCTGAGATTCCCCCCTTTTTGGTGACTAATTTAACAACTGCAGTGATTCACTTAAGAAAGGTCGTAAAATAGGTCAAGACTTGCTTAACAAATGTCTCACTCAACCACAAAGTTTGGGCACAATTGTGGTCATAAGTTGTATATGAGTGAATCATTAATTATTTCCCTGTTTTTAAGGGGTTTTAAGCTGAGGATCCTCCAGACCAGCAGGGGGAGATCATTGATTCTCTAGATCAGTGATAGCTAACCTTTTTGGTGCTGAGTGCCCAAGGCGCACATGCATGAACCCCCCAAATGCAATGTGAGCACCCCCTGCACATGCACCCCATGCATGTGCCCCTCCCCCATGCCCATTTTGGCTTCCTGGTTGGTGCAGGAGGATTTCCAGGCCCAAAACGGGGCACGGGAGGGCGCACACATGCACGTAAAACCCCAAAATACAATGCAAGCACCACTACCCCGCACATGCACCCCCCACATGCACATACACATCCTCTGTGCATTCCCTCTGCCCCTGCACATGCAGGGCAGAGACTCGAAGACCAGGTGGCTGGTGGGAGGCATGCTGGAGCTGGGCTGGGGCAACAACTGGTGTGCCTGCAGAGAGAGCTCTGTGTGCCACCTGTGGCATGCGTGCCATTGGTTTGCCATCATAGTTCTAAATCATTTTAAGTAGAGAGACCAAGAATTGAGAGGACATCTCCTTGCAAAGCATGTCACTTTCCATTGAATTTTGATCCTTCTGCGTAGCCTTCACTGGGCCTATGTGTCCGAGTCCGGAACTATCAGATCTTTCTTATTGTTCTATTTCTCCATGACTTTCTTTTCCTCAATGGTTACCACCTTGGAAAGAGTCTGCCAACTGTGTTGAATGACACCAGAGCCGAGGTGGCGCAGTGGTTAAATGCAGCACTGCAGGCTACTTCAGCTGACTGCAGTTCTGCAGTTTGGCTGTTCAAATCTCACCGGCTCAGGGTTGACTCAGCCTTCCATCCTTCCAAGGTGGGTAAAATGAGTACCCGGATTGTTGT